ATTGAATTTATATACCGCCCTATCTCCCTTACGGGACTCAGGGCGGTGAACAGGCGATAATAAAAACCACGATAAATATACACAAGATAGGGCCCGATGGCCAATTATAATCCACCAAGAGGCTCAGGAAAGGAAAGAGATAAGCAGGGGAAAAAAAGATATAATCCAAAACCCTCAGTAAAAAAATAAAAAGGAAGATATCCAACAAAACTATGATCAAAATGTAGAAAAATATATATATATAAAGGAATAGCAATTCTCTAAACAAAAGAGAACTGGAAAAAGAAAAACTGGCATAGCAAATTCCAAAGGACAGGCTATAGGCCGATGGCCCCGAGCTGGACTTAAAACTAACATTTTCATACTTTTCTTCTAAGGACCACCCGCGCACATAATCCTTATTTTGCAAAAACAGTTCCTTGTTCTTTTGTGCTGGCCAACCTACACCCGTGTACATCTGAAACCTCTATCCCTCTGCTACTTTCACTTCCACATTTCCTACGGTTATAATACTTACGTTCCAAATATATATAGATAGTGAGAGCTACTTACTTTGCAATTTTACGTTGCACAAAGCTCAGCAGATTACGAATAATACTTCCGTATTGTGAAACAACATAAAGTTTCAAGTTGAAGCTTTCAGTCACTACTGGGGAAGGGTCTATCTCAGGCAGCTGCTGTAGCTTTGGAAAACCCTAAAATTTTTTGGACCTGGCAGAGGGACGGTGTGGACAGTCCAAAGATCACCGGCGTGGGGCGTCCGGCGACAGTGGCGGCAGGAGAGGCGGTTGACCCACAGCTCCGGCTCGGAAATCTTAAAAAAGAAGGTAAAAAAAGGCAACCAAGTCACATTTTTCATTTATTTTGCATGCATCCCCCCCCCCAAAAAAACCCCATAATGGCACGAGAGAAATTTCCACCTCTATCCTGTTTGCATCCCTGCCTCTTTCCTTAGCCATTGTGGTTAATTTCAGTGTTGATATTTATTGTGTTACTATTTTGTATTGTTGTCTTTAAGCCACTTAGAGTCACCAGATGGGGAGAAAGGCACCACGAACACTTAATAAATAAAATGAAATAATCTTGGCCACGGGGGCAAGCTTAGTCAGAGCGGATGATCTGAGAAGGTCTTCTGGTCCAGACCCCTACTCAAGGCAGGAGACCCTTCCCCATTTCAGACAGACAAGGGGCTGTCCAGTCTCTTCTTGAAAACCTCCAGTGTCGGAGCACCCACAACTTCTGGTGGCAAGCAGTTCCACTGGTTAATTGTTCTCACTGTCAGGAAATTTCTCCTTAGTTCTCGATAGGTTCTCTCCTTGATTCATCCATTGTTTCTCGTCCTTTGGTGCCTTGGAGAATAACGTGACCCCCCTCTTCTTTGGGGCAGCCCCTCAGATCCTGGACTACTGCTATCATGTCACCCCTATTTCTTCTTTTCTTTAGACTAGCCAGACCCAAGACCCGCAGCCGTTCTTCGTAGGTTTTAGTCTCCAGGCCTTGGATCCTCTCTGTTGCTCTTCTCTGCCCTTTTTCCAAACTCTCAACATCTTTTTTACATCGTGGCAATCCAAACTGGATTCCCCATTGCAGGTGTGGCCTTACCAAGGCCTTGTAAAGTGGTATTAACACTACCTGTGATTCACCTGTGGAGATGGTTACCAGCGTCAAATTCCTGGGTGTGCAGCTAACAAGTAGGCTGACTTAATAATAATAATAATAATAATAATAATAATAATAATAATAATAATGATAAAGTTGGAAAGGACCTCAGAGGTCATCTAGTCCAACCCCCTGCTCAGGCAGGAAAGCCTATACCATTTCGGACAAATGGCTGTCCCGTCTCTTCTTAAAAAGTTCCAGTGTTGGAGTATTCACCGCTTCTGGAGGCAGGTAGTTCCACTGGTTAATTGTTTTTACTGTCAGGAAGTTTCTCCTTAGTTCTAGGTTGCTTCTCTCCTTGGTTATTTTCCACCCATTGCTTCTTGTCCTGCCTTCAGGCGCTCTAGAGAATAGCTTGACTCCCTCTTCTTTGGGGCAGCCCCTGAGATACTGGAAGGCTGCTATCATGTCCCCCCCCTCGTCCTTCTCTTCATTAAACTAGACATACCCAATTCCAGCAACCGTTCCTTGTATGTTTTAGCCTCCAGTCCCCCGATCCTCTTTGATGTTCTTCTCTGCACTCTTTCTAGAGTCTCAACATCTTTTTTACATCGTGGTAACCAAAACTGGATGCCGTATTCCAACTGTGGCCTTACCAAGGCCTTGTAAAGTGGTATTAATACCTCACGTGATCTTGATTCTATCCCTCTGTGTGAGAAATGGGTGAAGCGGGCACAACAGCGCCTGCATGTTCTGCGTCGCATGAGAAAAGCACATCTCCCTTCCCCTGTCCTCACCACTTTCTACAGGGGGACAATCGAGAGCATCCTGTCATACAGCATCACAGTCTGGTTTGGAAGCATCCCTGCTTCGGACAGGAAGGCGGTGCAGAGAGTGGTGAGGACAGCAGAAAAGATGATTGGCAGCTCCCTCCCTCCCATCCAGGACACAGCACAGAAGGGTTGCTTGAGCGGGGTCCGTAAGATCATCTGGGACACCACACATCCTCTTCACCACCTGGTTTTCCTTGTTACCTTCTGGGAGGAGGGGGCTCCGTGGTATCCATAGCAGAACATCCAGATTCAGCCATAGTTTCATTCCACACAGCATTAACCTTGTGAACTCTCAAGCTTGCTCCTTCCGTTATATATTCAAGATGGACAGTGATTAATATTTATTTGCTACGTATATGTAGGGGTGCAGGTCTATATATATGTTGTACATAGTATGTTTAGGTGTGTGTCATGTATGTGTTTCACTTTGAGAGCGGGCAACTCAATTTCATTTTTGATGTGTGCCGTTGTGCCCACAGTAAAAAAATGACAATAAAGGTTATCTTATCTGGGCTATATTCTTTGACGCCGTTGTCCACCATGATGCAACAGGGACCCTTTTGTTCTGTGTCCCCTCCAGCCATGGCGGGCTTTGCCCCCCAGAACTCCTGGCGCCAGCGTGTCTGCTCTGCCCGGCGGGTGATCCTCGTCCTGATGGGGCTGCTGGCCGTGGTGACCCTCTCCATCACCGTCTTCGGCTTTGTGGGTGGGTATCCCTCTGGAGTCTGGTTGGGGGAGAAGGGGGGCTTGAGGTGGTTGGGCAGGTCTGGGAAGGCCTACAAGTGGTCCTCAACTTACAGCCGTTCGTTTAGCGACCGTTCAACATTACAAAGGCATGGAAAACAGCGACTTACGACCTTTTTTCACATTTACGACCATTGCAGCCTCCCTGTGATCACCTGTTGTTTTCCTTTTCTTAAAATATTTCTTTTATACATCATGGGGGATTGAAAAAGAAGCAAAGGGAGACGATTTATGAGTTCCCCCCTCTCCAGTTAGTGGGGAGTAAAAGAGTTCAGAGGGCCGACACCTGAGCTGTGGCGATCTGTAAATTGCTAAGGAGAAGCTACTAATTAACGTTACAAGAGACCCAGAAGTAATAATGTCTGTTGCTTGTAGGTAAACTTCCTAGAAGGAAAAAATCTTTTTATGAAAACATCTTTTTATTGTTGATAATATATTCTAGGAGCAAATAGAGGGCTGTGTTCTTCCAGTCAATTACCCCAAAACACACACAATTATTCACAACCAGGCACAAAAGAATGATTTAAAGGGGCTGCAATTGGTTGAGGTCCATAATCTGCAAAGTGACCCCAGGACGCATGAAGGATAGCAAGGCCAGGAAAAAAGGGAGGTACACGGAGGATGCTCGGACACGGGTTCAAGGCAGGCAGGGAGGAAGGCAGGCAGCCCCCTCCTCTTCCTCTTCCTCCTCCTCCTTCTACTTCATCTCCATCTCCACAGGGTGCAAATACTCCACCCCCTTGTGGAAGATGCAGGAAGATCTGAAGGCCATCAACAGCACAATTGCCGCGGAATTAGACATTCTGCAACAAAATGGTAGGAGGCCCACCGTCTCTCTCTCTCTCTCTCTCTCTTTCTCTCTCCTTCCTGGGTTCTCTTCTTCCAGGAATGTTTGATACTCAAATCCAGGGCTCTCCAAAGATGGCCACTTTAAGCCTCGTGGACTTCAACTCCCATAATTCCCCCACCAGCCATCGAAGTTGAAATCCACAAGTCTTAAATTGCCCAGGTTTGGAGATTCCTTGCTCTAACGCAACATTTCTCAACCTTGTCTTCTGGAAGATGGGTGGACTTCAACTCCCAGAATTCCCCACTAGCCAGGCTGGCTGGGGAATTCTGGGAATTGAAGTCCACCCATCTTCCAGCACACAAGGTTGAGCAACGTTGCTCTGACTTGTTTACATCTTTCCCAGAGACCAACATTTTGAAAACTCTCCAAAAGATCGACCAGATGGTGAAAAACCTCACCGAAGAAACAAAGGAAGGTAAATTTGGGAGTAAGGGAGGCGTTGAAAAGCCCCCTTTGGCCCCCACATTCGGGAGAGACCCTCCCTCACCCAGACGCAACACCAAGGAGTGACGTTCCCCTTCTCCACCTCCAGTGAACTCCCAGTTCGGGGACCAGATCAAGAAACTTCAAGGGACTCTGGAGCAGCTGAAGTGCGACTTGGAGAACACAAAACACAAGGGGACAGGTGATCCAAGCGGGGGGGGAGGACGGGGCAGGTGGGCAGGGGGCACCTTCCCAGCCCAGCGCCCTCCAGATCTCTGGATTGCACAGGGGGTCTCCTGGTACAGCGATATCAATCAGCTATACACCTGCGTTCTCTACAACTGCGATATCCGGCGTGTTGTGTTCCAAACGGCGATCTGTCCGCATTCGAAAGTCCCACAAGATCTTCACCCTCTCATTCCCGACAACTTTTTTCCACCCTAGGTTCCCACGACGTTTCGGAGAGAGGCAGGTCGTATTTTTTTTTACACAAGGCCCAGTGGATTAATTCAGCAACTCGGTCACGTCTAGCTTCGTAGTCATTTTGCGCAATTTTAGCTGCACTCACCGATCAGATGGGAAACAGTGTCGACTTGGTCGTTGCCAAGTCGGCCATTTGGATTGTCAGTGGATTTTTTTTTTTTTGTATGCTCGCTTTCGTGGCGTTAGTTTGTAGTGCTTGTTCTTGAGCAGCCAGCATTAAGCCTTCCGTTTTAAGCCATGCCCGCGTCAAGCTTTGATTTTCCATCTATTTAATCTGTCATCCAGCCATTTCTCCTTATATTCTGCCTTTGTTTCTGTTATTTTTGTAGCACTCTCTGTTTTCACAGCCTGCAGTCATTCAAACTTCGTTTTTCTTCTTCTACAGTTTGGTGGATTTGCAATAGTCCTCTGCCCCCTGTTTTTCTTGGCAGGTACAACCTGTCGGTGTGCCCTTCGTGGATGTAGAGCGTGGTGCATAGTCAAACGTTTACGCATTTCCCCGTCTAGGTTTTCCAATTCAGCCAAAGTCCAGTTGATAATTCCAGCTGGGTAGCGTATCACCGGCACTGCTGCCCACCGTGTCCCTGTCCCCCACCGAAGCTATAACGGTGTCCCCCTCTTCTCTCCCCTCCCCCAGGGTCGGAGAGGGGCTGCTGCCCCTGGGGCTGGTATCTCTTTCAGCAGAGCTGCTACTGGCTGTCCTCTGCGCAGACGAGCTGGACCGAAGCCAAGCAGGATTGCGAAGAGAAGGAAGCCCACCTGGTGGTCATCACCAACCACCTAGAGAAGGTCAGTGTCTCCACTTCCCCATCCGTTGCAGGGAGGTGGGGGGCTAAGACCACCAGACTGGCAGAGGGCCGAGACCCTCGGTGTCCAGCTGATGCCTGCTCTGCCTTTTTGTCTCGCGTAGCAATTTGTGTTCCGGCTCACCAAACAGGACAGCGTTTGGATCGGGCTGAAGTTCGACGGCCGGACGTGGAAGTGGGTGGACGGGACACCCTACACCATGAGCAGGGCGTGAGTCTCCCCACTCGCCTCTCTCCTCCCTCCCCTTCTGTTTGGGGGGGCAGCATTGGCACCTAGCAGGTCCCCCTCTAGACTGTAGGCTTTGTGTTTGCACACTTGCACACTTGTCCTCCTAGGGGGAGTGGGAGGTCTTCATATGCTGAAACCCCCTTGCGCTAATGGACTCCTGGAAACAGACAATCGGGGGGCTTCATTACACAGCACAAGGCCCCTGGTACCCTGGGGGCACGGGGGTCACGGGATAATCCCTCCAGGCGTTCAAAGCACCGATGTGGGGATCATATAGTTGGCCCCACATCCTTGGTGGGATCCTGCCGAACATGCAGGAAGCACATGGTGGGATCCTGGGGCCCACACTGCCCTGGAGAAGGCAGCTGTGCCCCATGGGTTCTGGATATTCTCTTACGACAATGTTTCTCAACCTCAGCCACATTAAGAGAGGCAGACTTCAACTCCCAGAATTCCCTTTAAAATGTCGGAGGTTCAGTTCCCAGAATTCTCTTATTTAAGAGATCTGGACTTCAACTCCCAGAATTCCTCAGCCAGCATGCCATTAGGGTGTAGGCGGTGCCCCCTCTTCTCCCCAACGCCCCTGTGGGCATTTTCACCTGGAGGTGGGCCGTCCTGTTGCACAACACTCCTGCGAGTCCTTCTTTCCATCAGTCAAGTCTTGATCTCCGAGTGGTGCTCTTTCTCCTGTTCGCCTGCCCAGCTGATGCGGGCTTGTTTGCCAGAGATTGAATCGAGGCCAGTCATTATCTGAATTCTCACAATACGTTCACTGCTCAACAGGCCTTCCTAACATTACAGCTGTTGTAACCCAGAGTTCACTAACCAGGTTTCCTCAACTGACCCAGATTGGCATTCACTGCAGCACAAACAAGCCAATTTGCAGAATTCTGCCAGGCTACGAAACGCCGCCTCCCTTGTGACCCCCCCCACTCCCATCACCCTAGTCAGGGGAAAATTGGATGGCTTCTGAGGGCCGGGGTTGGACTAGATGACCTCAGGGATCCTTCCAAATCTCACCTGGCTGAGCTGCCACTTCCACACAGACAGAAGGGGGGTCTTCCTCCCACCCCTGGGTTGACCCCCCTCTTCTGCTTTGTCCCTTCCAGCGACTGGTGGTCACACGGATCAATGCATTATGACCAATACTGCACCAAGACCTACCGCGACGGGTTGTGGAACGAAGTCAATTGTCCGTTCCACTTTAGGTGGATGTGCGAAATGCAGGCGCTGCAGTGAGTCCCAGGGGAGACGCCGCCAGCCGGACCCCCGTGAAGCAGCTGCCCCTCACTTCTTGGAGCCAATAAAACGAATCTGGGACAAAAATCTACGCAGAAATTGGCCTCTTCTCTGCATCCTGGACGAGTGGAAGGGCGGGTAGCTCCCATCGGTCAGTGTGAAGGCCTGAGCTGGGGTGTGTGTGTGTGTGTCCATCCTGGGACCCCAGCATGGCCTTCGCAGAACACACTGAGCCGGAGGTGTTCTGTCTTTGGGGGTTTTGTGGTTTTATTTATTGATTGATTAAGAAAATATATGTGGGCACCAAACTTACCGTTGGTGACTCTGGACGGCATCCATTCAGCCATCTATGTCTGTCTGTCTGTCTCTAGCTCTATCATATTTCTATCTCTATTATTTCTATTTCTATTATTTCTATTTCTTTCTTTTTTTTGAAACACATTTTATTGGTTTTTTAATTCTTAGAACAAAGTGCTCAGGACGCGCCGTGGTGCTGGGGTAATCAGACATCCAAAAATAAAACCATATATGAATAACTCAATTCAGTACATTCAATGTCCCCTCTCTATTTCCCTCAAATAGCATAATACGTTTAAGACGGTCCATTTCTAACTTAAATTTCTGTAACTGCTAAACCTGTTTTAAAACTTTGTAAGTTTACAATGACCGTAATCAAATTTAACTTTAAATCGACAGGTTATTAATTCAGGTATCCCTTCCAGTTATATTCTAATTCTTGATCTCTCACATCCCTAATTTTATCACGTCTCGTTTATTTCTTCTTCCACTACACAATATATATCCTAATTAAAATAAGCAGAGCCGAGAGAGGGGGCAACCCATAATCCTAACCCCGGGCTGTAGAAGCTAACCCTCTCCTCCTTTGGCAGAGGGTGGGCTCCCTTTTCCACACATGCCGAAGTTCCGTTATTCTCTTACGCTCTCTACTTTGGGCCCATTCCTACAACACTCGAAACCCAGGTTAAGAAACAACCCTCAGCAGTTGCCTGGATTGATTGCTGTCATACAGGAGGTCTCAGCATGTTTGGGCTTCGCCACGTGGACCCACCCACCTTTCCCTTCTTCCTTCACTTCCCATTTTCAGTTACGACTGAAATTGCGGGCTCGATTACGGCTGTAAATCGGGGACTAGCTGTAGCTGAGCTTGGACTAGATGGTGTGCAACAGCCCTCTAGCTTTAGCCAGTTCCCAGAAGACCGGAAACCCAGGTTTAAAAAACAAAGAAATGAAGGGTCTTCCCACATTTCCATCATTTAGATTGCATGTCAAGGATGACACTTTGGCAGCCACGTGCCTCTGCGTGAGAGCCTGAATCCTTTTCAAGGACGCCAGAACAGGTGTGGATTTGAAGCAGACGGTTCCCATAACAAAGTGAACTTGTTGATACGGACAACGTTGGGGGAAGGGTGTTTGGCTGGGAAAATTATTGTTTAAGTCTATGAACTGGTGTGGGAACCTCAGAGTTGGTTTTGCTTCGACACACCCATGCTGTGTATTCAATAAACAGTAAGATTTTCGGAGACGGAATGAACCCGGAGTTTTATTTGGATTCTGGAGCTGGATGTTGACACCCCAGCGGCTTTGGGCTCCTCATGGACCAATCCACGTTTCTCTTCTTCTTTCCCTTTGGATTTAAAAAAGGTAATAATGGGAACTGCCGTCCAGACCTCTTAAAGGGAATTCTGGGAGTTGAAATCCTGGCTTTTTAAAGGCAATTCTGGGAAGTTGAAGTCCAGATATTTTAAATAAGAGAAGACTGGGAACTGAAGTTCTGACATTTTACGGTAATCCTTATTTTGCAAAAGCAGTTCCTTGTTCTTTTGTGCTGGCCAACCTACACCCGTGTACATCTGAAACCTCTATCCCTCTGCTACTTTCACTTCCACATGTCCTACTTATGTTCCAAATATATAGATAGAGAGAACTACTTACTTTGCAATTTTACATTGCACAAAGCTCAGCAGATTACGAATAATACTTCCGTATTGTGAAACAACATAAAGTTTCAAGTTGACGCTTTCAGTCACTACTGGAGGGGTCTATCTCAGGCAGCTGCTGTAGTTTTGGAAAACCCTAAAATTTTTGAACCTGGCAGAGGGACGGTGTGGACAGTCCAAAGATCACCGGCGTGGGGCGTCTGGTGACAGTGGCGGCAGGAGAGACAATTAACCCACAGCTCCGGCTCAGAAATCCTAAACAAGAAGGTAAAAAAGGCAATTAAGCCACATTTTTCATTTATTTTACATGCACCCCTCCCCCCAAAAAACCCCTCATAATGACACGAGAGAAATGTCTACCTCTATCCTGTTTGCATCCCCGCTTCTTTCCTTAGCCATCGTGGTTAATTTCAGTGTTGCCATTTATTGTGTTACTATTTTCCTGTTTTTAATAATAATAATAATAATAATAATAATAATAATATCGATAGGTAGACAAAATGCCAAATCCAGTCTGAACATCTGGCTGACTGTGCGATGATCAATACTACTACTACTACTACTACTACTACTACTACTACTACTACTAATAATAATAATAATAATAATAATAATAATAATAATAATATCGATAGGTAGACAAAATGCCAAATCCAGTCTGAACATCTGGCTGACTGTGCGATGATCAATAATAATAATAATAATAATAATAATAATAATAATAATAATAATAATAGAAGAAGAAGAAGAAGAAGAAGAAGAAGAAGAAGAAGAAGAAGAAGAAGAAGAAGAAGAAGAAGAAGAAGAAGAAGAAGAAGAAGAAGAAGAAGAAGAAGAAGAAGAAGAAGAAGAAGAAGAAGAAGCAGCAGCAGCAGCAGCAGCAGCAGCAGCAGCAGCAGCAGCCAAGATATTGCAATGGAGTTTGGCTTGGGCAAATGTGCCACACTTACTATCAAACAAGGAAAAATAGTGAGAACTGAAGGAATCAAGATACCCCACGAAAATAACATTAAGAGTCTGGATGAGGAAGATGACTACAAATACTTGGGTCTCCTTCAAGCTGACAACATCAAGCACACTGAAGTCAAGAAAAAGATTAGAGGTGAATACATCAAGAGAATGAAGAAGATCTTAAAGTCCAAACTCAATGGAGGAAATACCGTAAACGCAATCAACACCTGGGCAATTCCAGTCATTAGATACACAGCTGGAATAGTGGACTGGACTCAAGCAGAACGAAAAGCAATGGATAGGAAGACCAGAAAAATAATGACAATGAATCATGCCCTTCATCCACGCAGTGACATTGACAGACTTTATCTACCAAGGCAAATAGGTGGGCGTGGAATGCTGCAAGTACATCAGATGGTTGAAGAAGAAGAAATGGCTTTGGAAGAATATCTGAAGGACAATGATGAAGATGCATTGAAATTAGTATATCAGGAAGGCTTACTGACTACTGGAGAGACCAAACTGGCCTACAAGAAAGACCAAATGAAGAACAGAATAGAGAGGCATGGGAAGACAAAGCACTACATGGCCAGTACATTAAAAAAATAGCAGGGAAAGCAGATAATGAGAAGACCTGGCAATGGCTAAGAGCAGGAAAATTGAAGAAAGAGACCAAGGGTCTAATTCTGGCTGCACAAGACCAAGCCTTAAGGACAAATGCATATAAAGTCAAAATTGAGAAGACAGCAACAGACAGTAAGTGCCGCCTATGCAAAGAAGCTGAAGAAACAGGGGACCACCTGGTAAGCTGCTGCAAGAAGATCGCACAGACCGACTACAAGCAGCGGCACGACAAAGTAGCAACAAGGGTGCGTTGGAAGATCTGCAAGAAATATCATTTCCCTGTAAACCAAAACTGGTGGGATCATCAAATAGAGAAAGTCATAGAAAATGATAAAATTAAACTGCTCTGGGACTTCAGAATTCAAACAGACAAGCACCTGCAACACAACACCCCAGACTTAACAATTGTCGATCAGAAAGACAAAAAAAGTCTGGATAGTGGACGTGGCAGTGCCTGGAGAATAGACGAGAAAGAACTGGAGAAGATCACAAAATACAAAGACCTACAAATAGAAATAGAAAGACTGTGGCAAAAGCAAGCAAGGGTAGTACCAAAAGTTAATAGGTGCCTTGGGTGCAATCCCAAAACAACTGGAGCACCACTTGGACACCATCATCGGCATTGACAAATTCGCCATTAGTCAATTGCAAAAGGCGGCCTTACTAGGAACGGCCTCCATCCTGCGACGAGATCTGTAATACCATCAAACATCCACATCTGCCTATCCCAGGTCCTTGGGAAGGACTCAATAGGTAGACAAAATGCCTAATACTGTGCGATGATCAATAATAATAATAATAATAATAATAATAATAATAATAATAATAATAATAATAATAATAATAATAATAATAATAATAATAATAATAATATTGGAAGGGAGCTTGGAGGTCATCTAGTCCAACCCCCTGCTCAGGCAGGAAACCCTATACCATTTCAGACAGATGGCTATCCAGTCTCTTCTTAAAAACTTCCAGTGTTGGAGCATTCACCGCTTCTGGAGGCAGGTAGTTCCACTGGTTAATTGTTCTGTCACGAAGTTTCTCCTTAGTTCTAGGTTGCTTCTCTCTTTGGTTAGTTTCCATCCGTTGCTTCTTCTCCTGCCTTCCGGCACTTTGGAAAATAGCTTGACTCCCTCTTCTTTGGGGCAGCCCCTGAGATATTGGAACACTGCTATCATGTCCCCCGTGGTCCTTCGTTAAACTAGAGATACCCAATTCCAGCAACCGTTCCTTGTATGTTTTAGCCTCCAGACCCCTAATCCTCTTTGTTGCTCTTCTCTGTACTCTTTCTAGAGTCTCAACATCTTTTTTACATTGTGGGGACCAAAACTGGATGCCCTATTGCAAGTGTGGCCTTTCCAAGGCCTTGTAAAGTGGTATTAACACTACCTGTGCTATATTCTTTGAAGCTGTTTGCCACCACGATGCAACAGGGACCCTTTTGTTCTGTGTCCCCTCCAGCCATGGCGGGCTTTGCCCCCCAGGACTCCTCCTGGCGCCAGCGTGTCTGCTCTGCCCGGCGGGTGACCCTCGTCCTGATGGGGCTGCTGGCCGTGGTGACCCTCTCCATCACCGTCTTCGGCTTTGTGGGTGGGTATCCCTCCGGAGTCTGGTTGGGGGAGGAGGGGGGCCTGAGGTGGTTGGGA